AGAGTGATTGTGAGGTTGGAGTGAATGGGAGGACTGAGTGACTGTTACTCTGAGAAGATGCATTGATTTCATTGTTGGTGCATTTCAGCTGTCATATATGACTGTTTTGGAAAAATTTCTAAAAGACAATTTCTTCTGTTTCAATCAAAGTTGATATGAAATTATTGTGAAATTTTAAATGTTGAACTTGAGAGCATGCCTACCCTTTTATGTTGAAATTTTTTGTATTTGGATTTAGCTGTGAAGCTCGTCACTACCTTCAGTTCTCATTTATTATTGTTATTTACTGAGTTGGTTGTATTAATACTACACCCTGCACTTCGTGTGCAGATCCAGGTGATCTCGGACATAGTGGGTGTTGATTCTTTCACACAGTTGATTTTTCGGAGATTCAGAGGTAGCTCTCATGTTTCGCAAACCTTGTCTCTCCTTCCCTATCTCCTTGTTTACTGTATTTGGTCTTAGACTATTATAGACCGTGTTTTCCAGACTTGTAATGCATAGATGCTCATGTACTCAGTGACACCGAATTTTGGGAGTGTATTTATATCCAGTATTTGTGCGATTCTCTCTTAAACTTAATTATGATGTTTTCAGTATTTAAAAGATATTGTGGGCTATTAATTATGTCGGCTTGCCGAATATTGAGATAGGCGTCATCACGACGGGTGAGATTTCGAGTCGTGACACTTAGTCCGACCCCAGTCCTCTAATGATGTGGTTGTAGCCCTTGTCCGGCGATTGCTACATGCCTTTTCCAAAACCCTCCACCATAAATATCACCCAACTTCATATTTTCTCCCATCTTTCACTCTTCCAAACAGTGTTATCAAAGGCGAAAAGCGCAAAAAAGCTTTAAGGCCCGTTGGGGCTTTAAGCGCAAAGCGCAAATAAAGCGTGGGCTTTAATGAAAAAGGCATAACTGGAGGAAAAAGTAAAAATATGTATATGTTGTCCAAGACCAATAATTATAAGCATGAATAACAAATATATGGACAAAAAAATTGAAGAAAAAATAACGATAAAGTCAAATATCAATTGTTTAGTCGCATTTTCAGGATTACACTCATTGGCAAGGAAAATATGCCTTAGAGCCTTGATATGACACCGAAACGCCCGCAAAGCGAGGCGAAGCGCTGAACATATTTTGAGCCTCGCTTTAGGGCTTGAGCGTGCCTTTGCCTTAGAGCCTTGATGCGACAATGAAGCGCCCGCAAAGCGAGGCGAAGCGCTCAACATGTTTTGAGCCTCGCTTTAGGGCTTAAGCGTGCCTCTTACAACACTGCTTCCAAGCAAGAGCACGTTCCAAAACAAGGGTTTTCACCTCAAGGCCTCCTAACACAAAGGTAGACCATATTTGGTTGTTTAGGTGCTTGAAGACATAATTAAGTAAATAAAAGTGTGCTCTATCTAACAGCTTAAACTTTTAGATGTGATGGTCACACAATTCAACTAATTCCAATGCTAATTCTGACACCAACAATCATAATTTTGATTAGATTTTGCAACTCCCGATCCATACTCCAAGAACACTCAATATGGGATGTGACCACATTAAGGTAATCACTCCTTACTCATGGGTATGGTTTTAATAGCATATGGATAAATTGAATATTGTGGGATTGGTTGATGTGAGAGGGCTTAGAGCCGGAACTCACCCCATGGCCATGTTTGAGGATTGGGTTGGCCTAAGGCAAAAACCCCATGGGCTAAATTTACCCTCTTTTACATAACTAGAGTGAAATTGACCCTATTATGATGCTAATGATGTAGATCAATCATTGCGGGCATGTTCTTGATCTTGTAGCCCTATTGTCACTAAGCTAACTAAAGGTATGCATGTTTAATATTTGATAGAATGCATGAAAGACTATCTGAAATTGTTAACTATGAATTTGTGGATGTGGCGATAAGCTCGTGCAACTAACACCATTTTGAAATGTTGTGTATGACTGATGCTTATGAAATTCTAGAATTTTGTATAATATATTCAAGTGTTTCTAAAGCATGTTTTACGATGAATACGAGGACAAAATTAGTTCTTGCTTTGATTCAAATACTAAGAATAATCATGCCCATTATGTCAAGGTAATATAAAATGTTGATATTATCAAAGTTTGATAATATTTATGTTGAGGCCCATATGAGCCATTTCACAACGACTATGATGAAATATATTTTTTGTTGTTATGACTATGATGAATATTTTGGAATGATGCTTTTGATATTTGCGTGTATACTCGCAACCAAAGTTCTGTGGTGTTATCCCTAAACCACACGTGCAAGTGTGGGTAATTGCAGCTTGTGGCGCGCCCTCAAAGTGTAATGGCACATAGGTAGGTGTGCCATCATCCCTAATCTCTTTCGTGTCATACAATAGGGAGTTGGGACGTCCTTCCCTAGCCAATCGGATGGTTACTAATCTGATGTCGTGATATGCACACGACCCTAAGTATAAAAATGTTACGATAACGATGTTTTATGACTCTCGTGAGCTATGATTGTGTTAAAAGGCCTACAGGCACAAGTTATGTTTCAAATAAGCTTTCATATGATCCTTATTAGATAATTAAGTTTTCATATGATCTCTACATGTTTATGACTTGAAAATGGATATTGCATATGATATGTTTAAGTTTTCTAAGTTATGACATTTGATACAAGTGCAAATTTTCTCAAAGGACTTGTCTCAACTTTTAGAGGTTGTCTGTGAGACTTGCTACTCCATTCATAGTTTCGGTGGTGAGCCCATCCTAGACCGGTGGCGGCCTCTATTGACATTTTCTTCCTTTAATCATTTGTTAGGTGACGACCCATTTCTATTTTGTACAATGAACTCTTTAGAAGTTCTATACTCCCTATGGATAGATATGCATGCTTATGAGATAGAGTTTGAACAACGCCCCTCGTCAAAGCTTATTTGGGCTATGCGATGCCATTGGGCCCTTTTTGGGTGTCATTCATATTTTTTAATATAGATGTTCTGATGTTACGGGAACAACCGATGCCCATTTTTACATATGCGTGATGCACGGGGATGTCTGGATCCCCGATATATGTTTGTGGTTTGTTGATTTGTCAGGATTAAGGATTTGCTCGACGAGTGTCAGGCTCATCGAGTGCCAGTCACCGGCCCCTCTAGTTTTGGATCGTGACACTTACTTTATTTGCAAATTCGAAGTTTGTTTCACATGTCTTCCGAAAGAAATTGAACTTCAAACTTGGAATGATTACTTCAAGTCATAATAGTGGTATGAAGGTGCATAGGTGAATTTTAACTGCAGAATTATTTCCTAACTTTCAGTCACAAATCTTTAGCTTTCACTAACATGTTTTTCCAAAAAGCTATTAGATCTATTGAAACCCAAGTTCAACTTAAGCAAGTTCACAGTCAAATTCAATTTCAGAGTAATCTTTCTCTCTTTTTTTCAGCTTCAGCTCAAATTTGTCCAAATGCATACTACAAATCCTAGACAAACTCATTAGGAAAAGAAAAATCAAAACTTTTACACAAAGAATAGAACTAGTACCTTGTCGGTAATGAGCTCGCATTGTGTTCCTTTCCCAGAAGCAGGAGCACCAGATATCATTATCCTCAAAGGCTCTGCCTTTTGAGCACATCCCAAAACCTAAATTTTAGAAATCAAGATTCAAATCATAACTCAAAATTAGCTGAAATAATCAAAAGGGTATGCAATTCAAAGCTCGAAATACCAGGAAACTGGCACCGTTGGGAGGCGGAACTCTCCGGCAATGAGTTCTGAAAAGGGTTTGACGTGAGTGAAGGGAAGAAGATTTAGAAAATGACAAGTGGGAGGAAGTAAAGGGTAGGTGAGAAAGGTAAGAAGGGACTAATGAAGAGAAGGAATGCTTTTGGGGGTCGGAGTTTGAGGAGATTGGTGTGAAGCTGAGAGAGGAGCAAGAAGCCATGGCTGCTGCTCTCTGCTGTCCCTTTCTCTATCTCCTCTTGTGCCTGGTTAGGTGAATTTATTTATATGTTTTTGTTGTAATTTTGTGGGAATTGTTTCCTTATTTTCTTTTTTAAAATATGGATATATAAGATGTATATTTAGATATTGTTAATGGGTTAACATTCTAGGAATTAGATAAACTAATAAAATAACAAAAATGCCATTTCCTAAAGCTCTTCTGCCGAAGACTTTTAAGGAAGTCAAGATTAAAAATAAAAATAAAAAATTATGCAAGTTTATCTTACGTAAAATTAGACACTTATTTTATATAATATCTCATATAACTCCTTTTTAGTCTAATGAAACAAATTAATTATGAATAAAAGTATATTCCTAAATAATGATATTATTATTTAATTTCCATATTATAATTCCAAGGTTATAATACCAATATAACTTGAACACATACAAAACAACCTCTAATGCATAAGGTTGTGGATTGGATTGGGTAAAGGGGAAACAATGATATGAGCCTCGGAGAGTCATTTTATAACTATATACTTATTATTATCCCTAAAAACTAAGGGGTCGTTTGGTTTGGTATGAGATATAAGGTGGGATAATGTGTAGGATGAAATTTATACCTTGTTTGGTTGGATGTTATACCGCCAACCAAACAAGTTATAAATTTAATCCCAGACTTAATCCAGGATATCCCATCTTATCTACTTTATCTCATCAAATGTGAGATTATTTTATCCCATCTTTCATGTAGTATAAAATAGTACTGGGATTATAATCTCAAAATTATAATCTCTGGATAATTTAGTCCGCGTACCAAATGATCATGAGTACAAAAATATACTGCTAAGAAATATGATGAAATGAATAAGATAGCTTGCTCAATCAAATGTCTCTAGTTCAAACTTTAGATAGAAAAAATTCAAATAAGAAACACAATAATTTATTGGAAGTAAAAACTTTAGAAAAAATCAATTTTTTTAAGGAAAAGTTGCCTTTGATTTTACATCTGTTATATTATTGACCCTAAAGAAATAAAGTAGAAAAAAACACAACTATTTCATTGAATAAAGTGTGACGAGGAATTCAAACAAGTTGGCCTTTTGTTAAGTGTTAACCGACATTTGAAAGGAGAAGAAGAACCGCTAGGACCGGAGCCCCGACAATGGCGAGAAACGCAAGACAACTACCATTACCGGCGACCACCGGAACAACAACAATAACCCTAACCCTAAACAACTCATCAGAATCCTCCTCCTCATCATCGTCTGAACAGCAGCAGCATACAACAGAAACCCTAACTCTGAAATTGAAGCCGAAGAAGAAGAGCGTTTCATGGAAGCCAGGTACAGTGGATAACGAATTCCTCAACAAGAAGAGCTCTAAGATTTGCTGTATATTTCACAAGGAAAAGCCTTTTGATGAGGATGACAGCGATGACGATGAAAATAAAAATCAATCAAATAAGAAGGTTCACCATTGTTGTAAATTGGAGGATCACGGTGAATCCAGTACCAGCAATTGCTAAGATAATTAATCGGCTTTGGATTTCCTGTACGTATAATTTGAAAATTTCAAATGTTACCGAAATTTTTATTTGACTGAATTCTAATTCAATGTTAAGGTTCTGTTGTGCGTATATTTTCTCTTATCGTATCCTTTTTTTTTTTTTTTTTTTAAAAGTTGGCTGGAAAAAAAAAGATGGTATAAAGGATAATTTCTTCATTTGGGCTGAGTTTAAATGTATTTTTCAGTATAAGGTTTATATGGGGTGAAGAAGGTATATCTAAAATCATAGGGAAGGAAGTTGTCTCAGGACCTACCGTTTCTAGGGAGCCATGCAGACTAAGCAAAAAATAAGGCTCATCAGAAGACAAAGATCTATATAGACGATACATATTAGTAAAGGAGAGTTAGATGTTAGCACTTCTACTCTGGGTCTTATGCTTTGTATAAGTTGTTTAGCCTTTAAAAGATTTTATACGTTTACAGAACTTCTAATACTTTCTATTTGTATTTGCATAATATTGACTTGAGATGATCTAAATAGAGTAACATTAATTTGTATTTGCATGAGATGATTTAAATGGAGTTACATGGTCAGTGAGGATTACCTCAACTTGTTTGGGATTGAGGCATAGTTGTTGTTGTTTATATGGATACAAGATCTTATTTGATTGTTTGAAATATTTAGGATTGGTTAGATGATTATCTTTTTGGGAAAAATTATAATTCTCAGGAAAAGGAAAAATGGTGAGTAGGACATATGTAAGTATAGAAAAAATTTCTTATGAAATGAAGAAGAAAACAAAGTCCTTTGAAGACTACTTCTCCAATTGGGTTGATTGGAAATGTTTTTTTCCCAGTGTAGAAATTTGGGATTTTGAGGGATCTGATTGAGACTTAGGTTTTGATGGATATGAAGAATTTATGTTCTTGGGTTAGTGATATTCCTACTCAATTCAGTTTGTAATGTTCCGTTTTTTAACAAGATTTTGGGCCGTGAAGCGGAAAACTTCCGCACTACATAATTGGGGAGATTCTAAGGGCAAAAGGAAGGCAGACTAATGTGGTAGAATGTAGTTGAGAATTTGAATGTAGATTATTTATCTATCACAGGGGGGGCACCCTTAATCAAACAGCCCCTTAGAGTTTTGGAATTTTTGAGCTCTTGGTGGCTTGGTGCAACTTGAAATATGAACAGTGATGTAAATGTTTTTGTGGACTTTATGGATTCCCAGATGTGCACTGGGTTGTTGTTATGGATTCCCAGATGTAGGAACACAGTAAATATTTGCTAACATATTTAACCTTCTTGTGTGATCACTGAAGCATCTAGTTATTAAGATAGGGTGGGTAGTCCGCTTCCGATTCACTTGTATAATTGGCCTAGAGAACGAAAGCTTTGCTATTGGTTTGTGAAGAGTTTTCTGATTACATCCTTTAGATTAAAAGGTTCTGGAATCAGAATCTGCTTATTCGTCAAAAGTAGTTTAATAGTTTTGTTTGGTAATGCTGATCCTTCTGAAGGCTGCTGCATAGAATAGTTGATATTGGTCCAACAATCTTTTATGTGCTTGCGTTGGGACCGTTTTCCCCTCTATGCCCTTCCAGAATGTTGTTAGAGATTTCAAAACATTTCTTCTGTTATGGAATTAAAAATAGGAAAAAAAAACATTTCTTCTGTTATGGAATTAAAAATAGGAAAAAAAAAACATTTCTCTGGCATGGTACTTTTGAACTAAGCATCGCCAACTTGGTTGTTAGGAAGTGAAGGTGGTATTAGATCAGGTAGATTCTTTGCAGTGGCTGCATGAGTCCGCAGGTAAATATACTGTGACATCAAGTTAAAAGAAGCTAGTTGGAGGCAAATTGACAATAGGCTCTGAAAGTTAGCGAAAACACCCCCTACAGTATCACCAATCAAAAAGAAAAAAAAAGTAACACACCCACTCAGTATCCTCTTTTGGCTGGATTGCTTTAAATGGGGCTTGTCTTACACAAGAAACTTGATAAAGCGAGGCTTTGTCTTGTACTATATGTGCTGCGTATGTATAATGGACGTGGAGACTTGTTTTCATGTGTTCCCTTTTATGGTGGCCTAGGAATTACTGGATTTGATTCTGAACTTATTCAACATCATATGGGCTAGTCCTGGAAGATTAAATGAGACTTCTGTGTATCTGGCAGGGAAAAATCAAGAACTGCAGAATGCTTTGAAGTCATTTGCTCAAATACATCATTTGGGTTCTTTGGGGATAGAAACAGAGGATGTTCTGAAGGAAAAAGAGTTGCAATATCGATCACCTCTGAGATATAGTTTTTTCCCCCTCTTATCTTAATAGTGTGAAAATGCAGTTGAAATTGACATAGATCACATGAGAATGTATCAATTCCCTGCATAGTTGAGCAGGAATCTCTTTTGTACTTGCACATGTTTTGGTGCTGTAACATATCAAAGGCATCTGGGCGTATCCTACATGAATTAAATGATGCTTACTGACATTGAGAAGCTTATAAGGAGGGGAAAAATGCCTTACCAAGTTTATTCTGCTTTAGCAGTGGACACCTACTGCCTTCTTAGATAGCTTCCACCTCATCCCATTGTGTTTCATATTGAAGTATGGTTTGAATAATTTGCTTAGAATTTTGTCTACCCGTTGGCTTTTATGAAACAATGTCTGCCTAAGAGTGCAATTTCTATCAGTTTCTGCTCAAACGAAAAGCTACCGTGTGTGTTGTAAGTGGATTCTCATGAATATATTCTGAAACCCACACTCTGAATGCAGTGACATTTATGTGTTGAAGTTATAGGTAGATAAGTAAGCAAAGTTAAATGGTGTCACTCTTTTATTGTAGTGTGTGTTGCCTCCTACAACAGGTCATGAAAATGCAATCCGAGTTATTGAGGCAGTATTGCAATTAAATTAGAAGGCTGTAAGCTCTGTCTTCTCTTGCCAACTTGATGAGGGAGGTGCTGGGAAGACCTTTTTTCCCAAATTGAGATTGGGATTCTGAATTTTAGTCTTAGATTTGACACTAGTAGTTGCGTAAAATTGCGTACAATATTCGGAACATTACATACGTTCACTCCTTCAATTTCACTTATACCTTAACTTTGCGGACAAACCAATTATGCCCCTTAACTTNACAAAAAAAAAAGAAAACTTGATACATAAATTGATACTTCTACTTGTACAGTTTGCAAAGCCGGCTCCCAAATTTAGAGTTATCCCATTATTGCAGCCATATTGTAAGTTATTAAATCTAAAGATCAGACCAAACCAATAAAAATTAGGTTTTTTAATCTAGGTTTTTCTCGGGTTTTTTCCAGTCTTCATAGCACAAAACATAGAATTTGTGCTCTAAATATTTCTTTAATACTAGTAAGACAGAACTATATAAGGTCTTTTTCAATAAAATAACATAAATATGAGATGAGTTATGACATTGTACTAAAATATTCAACAATAAAGATAATAAAATCGCATAAAATAAATATTATTAATAAGCCATAATGAAAACAAACATAATTTAAAATTACTAATAAGTTGCTAAAATAAGTACGACTAATAAGTATTATTATTTACATGACTAAACACTAAGTTATGCATTATATCTAAACCATGAATAAGCTAAAAAATATATATCCAACACTATTTTCATTCGTAGTACAATTGAATTGAATGTCTTTTATTAGCATTAGTATTGATTTGATTTTGGTTTAGGATTTATTTGAGTTACTAACATTTATGGACTATAAAACTTATTGGAGCATCCAAAAATTATAAGTCCAAGCTTGAAATAATACGTTAAAAGATAAAACTATGAAAAAACTTAAGAAATATTTATAAACTACACTACAATAAATATTTTTATGTATTAAATATATTTAAAACTCCTATACATACAATGTCGAGTTGGTTTGGTTTCGGTTTGACTTTTTTTAATTAAAACCAAATCATAATCGGGTTTTTTTTCTCGGTTTGACTCGGATTATCGGGTTGGTGCGGTTTACCGGTTTCATTTGTACACACATAATTAGCATGACACAATGGCAACATTTTACACCCATTACGTTTGAACAAGTGAAATAAACATATGAACCTTTTAATTAGAATTCAATTTCACCAAATCATGATTAACAAGCGTTGGCATCTAAGAAGAATAAGGCAAACGATGCACCGATATGTGTTTGATACTTTTATATTACATGGTCTTACTTCTTCTTCATATGTTGTCAATCGTCGACGTTGGCCTTAAAACCTCCATCTTGTATTTCAAGACTAGGATTTCACCTCTAGGATTAAGATTAGTCAAGAGTTGAAAACAAGGTTTATTCCAATAATAAATTCAAGTGTTTCCACGAATCTACTCTATAACATGTGACCCAAATTTTATCTTGCCTTTTGAGTATCTAACAAAGGGAAACGAGTAAATTCGAGGTGCTAACTGCTAAGTGACATTAAATAACATTACGGTTTAATACACAAATTAACAACTCCAACTTGCACAGGTTTGCAAAGTCTCCTCTTATTTAGATTTTATGTGAAATGCAATAATCTAAGTACCCAACAAACAAGTGGAAATTCTCAAAATGATCAAGCTTATAATAAATATATAAATCTTCACGTTTCATAGAAATAAAAAAACATCCAAAGTAAATCTAGAAAAAAAAAATTAAAAAAATCCAGATCATTGCTTCTTAAGCACTAGGGGGTGGAATAACGCAACAACAATGCTTGTTGGCATCACATCCACAGCTTTGGAAACCAATAATTTTGCAGAAAGAGACACAATCTGCTGCACTGTTGCATCCTTGTGGCACTTGCTGTTTTGTCCCAATCACACTCTGTTTTTCCACTTCCACACATCTTCCCATATGGCTAAAATTGCAAAAAACTAAGCTAAACAGAAAAACAAAAGCCAATATAGCCTTTGCCATCTCAAGAATTGACGAATATTTTGAGTGTATATATATTTTTCTATTCAGAAATATGACAGGATCTAACTAAGTTTTACATGTATTTATATACTTTTGAAGCATAGTATACA